CCCCCTCCTCATCCCCCTCCTCACCCCCCTCCTCATCCCCCTCCTCACCCCCCTCCTCACCCCCCTCCTCACCCCCCTCCTCACCCCCCTCCTCATCCCCCTCCTCACCCCCCTCCTCGTCCCCCTCCTCATCCCCCTCCTCACCCCCCTCCTCATCCCCCTCCTCACCCCCCTCCTCATCCCCCTCCTCACCCCCCTCCTCATCCCCCTCCTCACCCCCCTCCTCATCCCCCTCCTCACCCCCCTCCTCATCCCCCTCCTCACCCCCCTCCTCATCCCCCTCCTCACCCCCCTCCTCGTCCCCCTCCACATCCCCCTCGCCTGGTACACAGGAGGTCGTGGGTTCGATGTTGAGATGTTGACTACCTCGCCTGGTGTGCAGGAGGTCGTGGGTTCGATGTTGAGATGTTGACTACCTCGCCTGGTACACAGGAGGTCGTGGGTTCGATGTTGAGATGTTGACTACCTCGCCTGGTGTGCAGGAGGTCGTGGGTTCGATGTTGAGATGTTGACTACCTCGCCTGGTGTGCAGGAGGTCGTGGGTTCGATGTTGAGATGTTGACTACCTCGCCTGGTACACAGGAGGTCGTGGGTTCGATGTTGAGATGTTGACTACCTCGCCTGGTGTGCAGGAGGTCGTGGGTTCGATGTTGAGATGTTGACTACCTCGCCTGGTGTGCAGGAGGTCGTGGGTTCGATGTTGAGATGTTGACTACCTCGCCTGGTACACAGGAGGTCGTGGGTTCGATGTTGAGATGTTGACTACCTCGCCTGGTGTGCAGGAGGTCGTGGGTTCGATGTTGAGATGTTGACTACCTCGCCTGGTGTGCAGGAGGTCGTGGGTTCCATGTTGAGATGTTGACTACCTCGCCTGGTGTGCAGGAGGTCGTGGGTTCGATGTTGAGATGTTGACTACCTCGCCTGGTACACAGGAGGTCGTGGGTTCGATGTTGAGATGTTGACTACCTCGCCTGGTGTGCAGGAGGTCGTGGGTTCGATGTTGAGATGTTGACTACCTCGCCTGGTACACAGGAGGTCGTGGGTTCGATGTTGAGATGTTGACTACCTCGCCTGGTAAACAGGAGGTCGTGGGTTCGATGTTGAGATGTTGACTACCTCGCCTGGTACACAGGAGGTCGTGGGTTCGATGTTGAGATGTTGACTACCTCGCCTGGTACACAGGAGGTCGTGGGTTCGATGTTGAGATGTTGACTACCTCGCCTGGTGTGCAGGAGGTCGTGGGTTCCATGTTGAGATGTTGACTACCTCGCCTGGTGTGCAGGAGGTCGTGGGTTCGATGTTGAGATGTTGACTACCTCGCCTGGTACACAGGAGGTCGTGGGTTCGATGTTGAGATGTTGACTACCTCGCCTGGTGTGCAGGAGGTCGTGGGTTCGATGTTGAGATGTTGACTACCTCGCCTGGTACACAGGAGGTCGTGGGTTCGATGTTGAGATGTTGACTACCTCGCCTGGTACACAGGAGGTCGTGGGTTCGATGTTGAGATGTTGACTACCTCGCCTGGTACACAGGAGGTCGTGGGTTCGATGTTGAGATGTTGACTACCTCGCCTGGTACACAGGAGGTCGTGGGTTCGATGTTGAGATGTTGACTACCTCGCCTGGTACACAGGAGGTCGTGGGTTCTATAATCTGAGATGTTGACTACCTCGCCTGGTACACAGGAGGTCGTGGGTTCGATGTTGAGATGTTGACTACCTCGCCTGGTACACAGGAGGTCGTGGGTTCGATGTTGAGATGTTGACTACCTCGCCTGGTACACAGGAGGTCGTGGGTTCGATGTTGAGATGTTGACTACCTCGCCTGGTGTGCAGGAGGTCGTGGGTTCGATGTTGAGATGTTGACCACCTCGCCTGGTGTGCAGGAGGTCGTGGGTTCGATGTTGAGATGTTGACTACCTCGCCTGGTACACAGGAGGTCGTGGGTTCGATGTTGAGATGTTGACTACCTCGCCTGGTGTGCAGGAGGTCGTGGGTTCGATCCCGACCGTGATGATGCCTGCTGCTGCTGTATATTTGGAGTTTGCGTGCCATTCTGCCTGTGGTCGCGTGGATTTTCGCTGTTTAGAGGATTTGGCCGTTGCAATGAATTAGCACATGGTGATGATGATGATGACATCAGCCACGTGGTTGGGTTTGATGTCATTTGTGATGGTCCAGGTCGCTTCTATAAAAGAGATACACAGCTGTGGGGCCTTAGCTCGTAACAATCCATAGTTTTTAGTTTAATCCTCGTCTCTTCACAAACATATTCTCCCGTTTCCTAATCGTCCCCTTTCCTCATGTTTCCCAATCTTCATCTGTAATTTCTCTCTTCCCTTACCCATCCATTCCACTGCTTTCCCCCCTCCATGCATCACAATACAGTGACTTCTCGACTTATGAGAATTCGACTTGCGAACTTTTAGAGATATGAACAAACCTGTCCGTATGGTCCAGTTGCAACTATTTGGACCGAGAGTCGTAAGTTCAACGGTCCTGCAGTAGATGGCGGTGGTGGCATCTAAATGTACAGAACGTGAAAAAATAGTGGCATCTACATTTGCAGAACACGAAGAACCAGTGTCATCTACATCTGTAGAACGTGAAGAACCAGTGGCATCTACATCTGTAGAACGTGAAGAACCAGTGGCATCTACATCTGAAAAACGTTAAGAACCAGTGACATTTACATCTGTAGAACGTGAAGAACCAGCGGCATCTACATCTACAGAACGTGAAGACCCTGCGGCATCTACATCTGCAGAACGTGAAGAACCTGTGGCATCTAGATCTGTAGAACGTGAAGAACCAGTGGCATCTACATCTGCAGAACGTGAAGAACCAGTGGCATCTACATCTACAGAACGTGAAGAACCTGCGGCATCTACATCTGCAGAACGTGAAGAACCTGTGGCATCTACATCTGTAGAACGTGAAGAACCTGTGGCATCTACATCTGTAGAACGTGAAGAACCAGTGGCATCTACATCTGCAGAACGTGAAGAACCAGTGGCATCTGCATCTGCAGAACGTGAAGAACCTGTGGCATCTACATCTGTAGAACGTGAAGAACCTGTGGCATCTACATCTGTAGAACGTGAAGAACCAGTGGCATCTACATCTACAGAACGTGAAGAACCTGCGGCATCTACATCTACAGAACGTGAAGAACCTGCGGCATCTACATCTGCAGAACATGAAGAACCAGTGGCATCTACATCTGTAGAACGTGATGAACCAGTGGCATCTACATCTGCAGAACGTGAAGAAAATCAGTTGCATATACATCTGTAGAATGTGAAGAACCAGCGGCATCTACATCTGCAGAACGTGAAGAACCAGTGGCTTCTACATCTGCAGAACATGAAGAACCAGTGTCATCTACATCTACAGAACCTGAAGAACCAGTGGCATCTACATCTGAAAAACGTTAAGAACCAGTGACATCTACATCTGCAGAACATGAACAACCAGTGGCATCTACATCTTAAAAACGTTACGAACCAGTGGCATCTACATCTACAGAACATGAAGAACCAGTGACATCTACATCTGCAGAACATGAAGAACCAGTGGCATCTACATTTACAGAACGTGAATAACCAGTGGCATCTACATCTACAGAACGTGAAGAACCAGTGGCATCTACTTCTACAGAACGTGAAGAACCAGTGGCATCTACATCTACAGAACGTGAAGAGCCAGTGGCATCTACATCTACAGAACGTGAAGAACCAGTGGTATCTACATCTGAAAAACGTTAAGAACCAGTGACATCTACATCTGCAGAACATGAAGAACCAGTGGCATCTACATCTTAAAAACGTTACGAACCAGTGGCATCTACATCTACGGAACATGAAGAACCAGTGGCATCTACATCTGCAGAACGTGAAGAACCAGTGGCATCTACATCTGCAGAACGTGAAGAACCAGTGGCATCTACATCTGCAGAACGTAAATAATCAGTGTCATCTACATCTGCAGAACATGAAGGACCAGTGCCTTCTACATCTGCAGAACGTGAAGAACCAGTGGCATCTACATCTGCAGAACATGAAGAACCAATGGCATCTACATCTGCAGAACATGTAGAACCAGTGGCATCTACATCTGCAGAACGTGAAGAACCAGTGGCATCTACATCTGCAGAACGTGAAGAACCAGTGGCATCTACATCGGCAGAACATGAAAAACCAGTGGCATCTACATCTACAGAACGTGAAGAACCAGTGTCATCTACATCTGCAGAACATGAAGAACCAGTGGCATCTACATCGGCAGAACATGAAGAACCAGTAACATCTACATCTACAGAACATGAAGAACCAGTAGTATCTACATCTGCAGAACATGAAGAACCAGTGGTATCTACATCTGCAGAACGTGAAGAACCAGTGGTATCTACATCTGCAGAACGTGAAGAACCAGTGGCATCTACATCTGCAGGAGACTATACAACTTTAAAAGCCATTCCCCGTGTTTAGTGTACATGCCTTACAACATGTTTGGTATCGACAGCAGTAAAGTTTGACTTGTGAACAAATCGAATTCTGAACAGACATCTGGAACCTAACTTATTCGTAAGTAGAGGCGTGTCTGTACTGGAGTGCTGTAGTATATAATGTAGTGTTGTAGTATAAAACGTAGTATCGTGGTATATAATGTAGTGTGGTTGTATATAGTAGCGTCGTAATATATAGTAGTCTAATAGTATATAGTAGTTTCTAGTAGTGTAGAAGTATATAGCTGTATATAATGTAGTATAATAATGTATAATGTATAGCAGTACTGTACATGCCGTACAACATGTGTGGAATCGACAGGAGCAAAGTTGGGCTTAAGAACAAATCGACTTACGAACGGACGTCTTGAACCCGTTCGTACGTAGAGGCGTCCCTGTACCTTTGAGCTCTACTTGACTGCACGTCACGTGACACGGGTACGGAGTAGCTGGCGGTCCGAGTTAACCAATGGCAATGATCCGCTTCCCCCCCAGAGGGTCCCGTCGTTGTGAACTGCAGCATCTTTGTGGAACACTTCAGCTCGGTGGAAGAGACTACCATGGTGAGAGACGCGTGGGTGGGTGGGTGAGTGTGTGAGTGAGTGGGTGGGTGAGTGGGTGAGTGGGTGGGTGAGTGGGTGGGTGGGTGAGTGAGTGAGTGGGTGGGTGAGTGGGTGGGTGAGTGAGTGGGTGAGTGGGTGGGTGGGTGAGTGGATGGGTGGGTGGGTGAGTGGGTGGGTGGGTGAGTGGGTGGGTGGGTGAGTGGGTGAGTGAGTGGGTGGGTGAGTGGGTGGGTGAGTGAGTGGGTGAGTGGGTGGGTGGGTGAGTGGGTGGGTGGGTGGGTGAGTGGGTGAGTGAGTGAGTGGGTGAGTGAGTGAGTGTGTGAGTGGGTGAGTGAGTGAGTGGGTGAGTGAGTGAGTGTGTGAGTGAGTGAGTGGGTGAGTGAGTGAGTGGGTGGGTGAGTGTGTGAGTGAGTGGGTGAGTGGGTGAGTGGGTGGGTGGGTGAGTGAGTGAGTGGGTGGGTGAGTGGGTGGGTGGATGAGTGGGTGAGTGAGTGGGTGGGTGAGCGGGTGAGTGAGCGGGTGAGTGAGTGGGTGAGTGGGTGAGTGGGTGAGTGGGTGAGTGAGTGGGTGAGTGGGTGAGTTGGTGTGTTGGGTGAGTGAGTGGGTGGGTGAGTAGGTGAATGAGTGGGTGGGTGAGTAGGTGAGTGAGTAGGTGGGTGGGTGGGTGGGTGAGTGGATGGGTGAATACGTGAGTGGGTGGGTGAGTGGATGGGCGAGTAGGTGAGTGAGTGGGTTGGTGAGTGAGTGGGTGGGTGGGCGAGTAGGTGAGTGAGTGGGTGGATGGGTGAGTGGGTGGGTGAGTGGGTGGGTGAGTGAGTGGATGCATCGGTGGGTGAGTGAGTGGGTGGGTGAGTAGGTGAGTGAGTGGGTGGGTGAGTGGGTGGGTGGGCGAGTAGGTGAGTGAGTGGGTGGATGGGTGAGTGGGTGGGTGAGTGGGTGGGTGAGTGAGTGGATGCATCGGTGGGTGAGTGAGTGGGTGGGTGAGTAGGTGAGTGAGTGGGTGGGTGAGTGGGTGGGTGGGTGGGCGGGTAGGTGAGTGAGTGGGTGGGTGAGAGGATGGGTGAATACGTGAGTGGGTGGGTGAGTGGGTGGGTGGGTGAGTGGATGGGCGAGTAGGTGAGTGAGTGGGTGGGCGAGTGAGTGAGTGGGTGGGCGAGTAGTTGGGTGAGTGGGTGGGTGATTGAGTTAGTGAGTGGGTGGGCGAGTAGGTGGGTGAATGGGTGGGTGAGTGAGTGGGTGGGCGAGTAGGTGAGTGAGTAGGTGAGTGGATGGGCGAGTAGGTGAGTGAGTGGGTGAGTGAGTGATTGGGTGGGCGAGTAGGTGGGTGAGTGGGTGGGTGAGTGGATGGGCGAGTAGGTGGGTGAGTGCGTGAGTGAATGAGTGTTATTATAGGAACAAGTAGGCGAAGGTCGCTGAACCAGTCGCTGTGGTTGTAGCAATGGAAGAGTGCCGAGGAGGTGACTGAGCATCATTGGGTCTGTGCTTGGCAATCGCGACATACATTAAAACAATAGTCCAACTAACATTGTGTTCATTGTAATATGGTGACATTTGTTATTGTATTGTGTCCAATCTCGCCACCCACCCAATCATCCACCCACCCACCTGCCACCCACCCAAATAACTCATCCACCAACCCACCTACACACTCACCCACCCACCTGCGACCCACCCAAATAACTCACCCACCAACCCACCTACACACTCACCCACCCACCTGCCACCCACCCAAATCACTCACCCACCAACCCACCTACACACTCACCCACCCACACACTCACCCACCCACCCACCTGCCACCCACCCAAATAACTCACCCACCAACCCACCTATACTCACCCACCCACACACTCACCCACCCACCCACCTGCCACCCACCCAAATAACTCACCCACCAACCCACCTACACACTCACCCACCCACCCACTCACCCACCCACCCATCCACCTGCCACCCACCCAAATAACTCACCCACCAAACCTCCCACCTATCCATCCACACACTCACCCACTCACCTGCCACCCACCCAAATAACTCACCCACCAACCCACCTACACACTCACCCACCCACACACTCACCCACCCACTCACCTGCCACCCACCCAAATAACTCACCCTCCAAACCATCCACCTATCCACCCACACACTCACCCACCCACCCAATCATCCACCGATCCACCTGCCACCCGTCCACGCCACCCACCCACCAACCCACTCACCCATCCACCCACCCAACCCACCCACCCACTCACCTGCCACCCACCCAATTAACTCACCCACCAACCCACCTACACACTCACCCACCCACACACTCACCCACCCACCCACCTGCCACCCACCCAAATAACTCACCCTCCAAACCACCTACACACTCACCCACCCACCCACCCAATCATCCACCGATCCACCTGCCACCCGTCCACGCCACCCACCCACCAACCCACTCACCCACTCACCCACCCACCTGCCACCCACCCACCCACCCACTCACCCACCCACGCCCACCCACTCCATGGGCCAGGACTACGAGGTGACCATCTTCGTCAGGCAGCAATGGAGCGACCGGCGGCTGTCCAACCACTCCGAGCAGGAGACCGTGGACTTGGACTACCCCTCCATGGCGACAGTGTGGAGGCCCGACCTGTTCTTCGCCAACGAGAAGAGTGGCCGCTTCCACACCATCACCACGGAAAACCGGATGATGCGCCTCTACCGAAACGGGGACATCTTCCACTCCATCAGGTTGATACGGCCCCGTCGCTGCCTTAGCAAACAGCCTCGACTCTCAGTGTAACACGCCGTCGGCTTTTCGCGAACGATATCGTCCACAATGCCGTGGGGTTTTGTTGTTGGTGGTGGTGGGGGGGGGGGGCGGGGGGCGGGGGTGTTAGATTGCGTGAATGTAAGTGTCTGGACAAACCAAAGATTGTAAATGTTGTGGATTTGCTCCCCAACGCACAAACGGTGAGCGGTGTACTAGTAGCGAGTTGGCAACGTTCTCTTCACGTGACGGAGCTCCATAATAATTGGCTGCGTCGGGTGGTGGCGGGTGTGATGACGCATTTATGTTTGCGTGATCTAACCCAAGAAAAAAACTACTTTTGTGGATAATGTTTGTCGCGAAAGCCTCCTACTACCCCTATCACTGTCTCTATCACTACCCCTATCAATACACCTATCACTACCCATATCAATACCACTACCCCCTATCACTATCACTACCACTACCCCTATCACTACCCCTATCACTACCCATATCAATACCACTACCCCCTATCACTACCCCTATCACTATCACTACCCCTATCACTACCCCTATCACTATCACTACCCCTATCACTACCCCTATCACTACCCCTATCACTACCCGTATCACTATCACTACCCCTATCACTACCCCTATCACTACCCCTATCACTACCCCTATCACTACTCCTACCTTTACCCCTATCACTCTCACTGCACCTATCACTATCACTACCCCTATCACTATCACTACCCCTATCACTACCCCTATCACTACCCCCTATCACTACCCCTTCACTATCACTACCACTACCCCTATCACTATCACTACCCCTATCACTATCACTACCCCTATCACTACCCCTATCACTACCCCCTATCACTACTCCTATCACTATCACTACCCCTATCACTATCACTACCCCTATCACTAACACTACCCCCTATCACTATCACTACCCCTATCACTACCCCTATCACTACCCCTATCACTATCACTACCCCTATCACTACCACTACCCCTATCACTATCACCACCCCTTATCACTACCCCTATCACTACCCCTATCACTATCACTACCCCCATCACTATCACTACCCCAATCACTATCACTACCCCTATCACTATCACTACCCCTATCAATACCCCCATCACTATCACTACCCCTATCACTACCCCTATCACTACCACTACCCCTATCACTATCACCACCTCTTATCACTACCCCTATCACTACCCCTATCACTATCACTACCCATATCACTACCACTAGCCCTATCACTATCACTACCCCTATGACTATCACTACCCCTATCACTATCACTACCCCTATCAATACACCTATCACTATCACTACCCATATCAATACCACTACCCCCTATCACTACCCCTATCACTATCACTACCCCTATCACTATCACTACCCCTATCACTACCCATATCACTACCCCTATCACTACCCCTATCACTATCACTACCCCTATCACTACCCCTATCACTACCCCTATCACTACCCCTATCACTACTCCTACCACTTCCCCTATCACTCTCACTGCACCTATCACTATCACTACCCCTATCACTATCACTACCCCTATCACTATCACTACCCCTATCACTATCACTACCCCTATCACTACCCCTATCACTACCCCCTATCACTACCCCTTCACTATCACTACCACTACCCCTATCACTATCACTACCCCTATCACTATCACTACCCCTATCACTATCACTACCCCTATCACTACCCCCTATCACTACTCCTATCACTATCACTACCCCTATCACTATCACTACCCCTATCACTAACACTACCCCCTATCACTATCACTACCCCTATCACTACCCCTATCACTACCCCTATCACTATCACTACCCCTATCACTACCACTACCCCTATCACTATCACCACCCCTTATCACTACCCCTATCACTACCCCTATCACTATCACTACCCCCATCACTATCACTACCCCAATCACTATCACTACCCCTATCACTATCACTACCCCTATCAATACCCCCATCACTATCACTACCCCTATCACTACCCCTATCACTACCACTACCCCTATCACTATCACCACCTCTTATCACTACCCCTATCACTACCCCTATCACTATCACTACCCATATCACTACCACTAGCCCTATCACTATCACTACCCCTATCACTATAACTACCCCTATCACTATCACTACCCCTATCGCTACCCCTATCACTATCACTACCCCTATCACTGTCACTATCCCCTATCACTATCACTACCCCTATCACTATCACTACCCCTATCACTACCCCTATCACTATCACTACCCCTATCACGACCCCTATCACTATCACTACCCCAATCACTATCACTATCCCCTATCACTATCACTACCCCTATCACTATCACTACCCCTATCACTACCACTAGCCCTATCACTATCACTACCAACTATCACTATCACTACCACTATCACTACCCCTATCACTATCAGTACCCCTATCACTACCCCTATCACTATCACTACCCCTATCACTACCACTACCCCTATCACTATCACTACCCCTATCACTATCATTACCCCTATCACTATCACTACCCCCTATCACTATCACTACCCTATCACTATCACTACCCCTATCACTACCCCCATCACTATCACTACCCCTTATCACTATCACTACCCCTATCACTATCACTACCCCCTATCACTATCACTACCCCTATCACTACCCCTATCACTACCACTACCCCTATCACTATCACTACCCCCTATCACTACCCCTATCACTATCACTACCCCTATCACTACCCCTATCACTACCACTACCCCTATCACTATCACTACCCCCAATCACTACCCCTATCACTACCACTACCCCTATCACTACCCCTATCACTACCACTACTCCCATCACTATCACGACCCCTACCCCTACCACTACCCCTACCACTACCCCTATCACTACCCCTACCACTATCACTACCCCTATCACTACCCCTGTAGCTACCCCTATCACTACTTCTACCCCAACCACAACTCACTATTGGTGCTATCACGTGGTTCTTCCATTAGGTACCACACCGCAGAACGTGCACTCTTATTGTTGATGACGTCGCTGTGCCAGCCCCATCACTGTGTCACCACTCCCCATCGCAGGCTCACTCTGACTCTCTCCTGCCCCATGGATCTGCGCAACTTCCCCATGGACACTCAGGCTTGCTACATCTTCCTGGAGAGCTGTGAGTAACTCCTCTAACACCCCCTACAACCCACCAGCAACAAAACTACGAATGCCAACGACTCACCCAAGCACTCACGAACACGCTCGCTCGCTCGCGCGTCCACTCAATCACCCACTCACTCATTCGCCCAAGCACTCACGAACCCGCTCGCTCGCTCGTCCACTCAATCACCCACCCACTCAATCACCCACTCACTCATTCACCCAAGCACTCACTAACCCGCTCACTCGCTCGTCCACTCAATCACCCACTCACTCATTCACCCAACCACTCACCCGCTCACTCGCTCGTCCACTCAATCACCCACTCACTCACTCACTCGCCCAACCACTCACCCGCTCACTCGCTCGTCTGCTCAATCACCCACTCACTCACTCGCCCAACCACTCACTCACCCGCTCACTCGCTCGTCTGCTCAATCACCCACTCACTCACTCGCCCAACCACTCACTATCCCGCTCACTCGCTCGTCTGCTCAATCACCCACTCACTCGCTCGCCCAACCACTCACCCGCTCACTCACTCGCCCGCTAAATCACCCAGTCAATCACCCACTTTCTCACTTACTCACCCACCCACCCACACACTCACTCACTCCCCTACTCACTCACCCACTCACTCACACTCACCCACCCAACCACTCACCCACCCAACCACTCACCCACTCATCCACCCACCCACTCACCCAATCACTTACTCACCCACCGACTCACCCACCTACTCACCCACCCACCCACCCACTCACTCACCTACCCACCCACTCACCCACCCATCTACCCACCTACCCACTTACTCACCCATATATCCGCTCATTCACCCATCCACCCACCCACACACTCACTCACCCACTCAATTACCCACCCACTGATCCACCACCCTCTCACCTACCCACTCAATCACCCACCCACTGATCCACCCACCCTCTCACCTACCCACTCAATCACCCACCCACTGATCCACCCACTTTCTCACCTACCCACTCATTCACCCACCCACTGATCCACCCACCCTCTCACTCACCCACCCACTGATCCACCCACCCTCTCACCTACCCACTCATTCACCCACCCACTGATCCACCCACCCTCTCACCTACCCACTGATCCACCCACCCTCTCACCTATCCACTCATTCACCCGCCCACTGATCCACCCACCCTCTCACCTACCCACTCATTCACCCACCCACTGATCCACCCACCCTCTCACCTACCCACTCATCCACCCACCCTCTCACCTACCCACTCATTCACCCACCCACCTCTCTGGCCGTGGTGTTTTGTCCCACCCCCAGATGGCTACACCACAGCCGACCTCCTGTTCCAGTGGCTCCCAGCGCACGCGGTGGAGCTCGCCGACGACCTGAGCCTGCCCCAGTTCACCCTCAGCAGCGACATCAAGCTCAGCACGTGCAACAAATACTACGTCAAAGGTAATCGTGGTAGCAGTGACCACGTGCAACAAGTACTACGTCCGACTGAGATGACCGGTAGATGCAGCAGCTGTGGCCTGGCTAGGTGTTGGAGGAGGTCACGGGCCAGACCCAGCAGGTGCCATGCGTTCACTGCTGTGCCCGGGCTCGGTTTCAGGAGGAGGTGACGGGACAGAGTCAGTAGGTGCCATTGGTTGATCGATGGAGATGACTGGCAGATGCCACAGCTGTGCCACCTCCTGAGCCAGGCTAGGTGCAGGAGGAGACAACCCATTCGCATAGACAGCAGCATTCTTTAGGGCCTATTCGCACTACCAGTGTCAGACGAGAGAATGCCAACAAGCGAACAGTACAGGGACAATGCCACTATCCGGTCATTTATAGCTCGGGGTGAGCAGCTACACAATGGGACCTTTTTGTCTAACACTGGGTGAGACAAGGCGCTAAAGAAGGCTCTCTTTGGTGTAGACCAATCAGTTTGAAAAGACAATGCCATCAGTTATAATTATCGGAGCATGTTTGTTTAACACGAAGGCTTTCGCGACCAACATCATCCATAATAGAGGGTTTTTTGGGGGGGGAGTTAGACCGCGTCAATATATAAATTTGCCGTTAAAACTCGCCACCACTCGACACAGCCAACTAGTGAGGGTTGTCACGTAAACAGAACGTGGCTAATTAGTGACCAGCTCAGCACTAACCTCTTCTGTGCTTCAGAGTAAACCCACTATACACGTTTACAGATTCGACTACCCGTGAAGTTTCGCCAGTAATTACAACAACAACCACAACAACAACAACCACAACAACAATCAGTAGTATTGTAAGATAAATCCTCCCTCCTGTTTTGGTCTTATAATGGATAACTGTGGATAATATTGGACACGAAAGCCTGCGTGTCGAACTGAATAATGATTGCGCTAAAAATGTGATTTAAATGTTCATGTTATACAGGGACTCCTCTACTTACGAATATTCGACTTAAGAACTTTCAAGAGATACTAACAAACCTCTCCCGTATGTCGAGTTACATCTGCGTCTACAGATCATGAAGAACCAGTGGCATCTATGTCTACAGATTATACAACTTTTAAAGCCATTCCCCGACTTTAGTGTACATGCCGTCCAACACGTTTGGAATCGATAAGAGTAAAGTATGACGAACAAATCGACTTACGAACAGACCTCTGGAACCTAACTCGTTCATGAGTAGAGGAGTCCCTGTAGCAGTGTAGTGTATAGCAGTTTATAGTGGTGTAGTGTGTAGTAGTGTTGTGAATAGTGTAGTGGATGGTGTAGTGTATGTATGTTTAACTTCTCTCGCACCGTACGTCGTGTGGTCAACGGTCAGACAAGAGGCGGTCTAATTCGTTAATTCGTAAACTTTCCCTGCAAACCCGCTGGTGGTCAACCGGTGAAGAAGTTTGTAAATTAGGCATCACGTAAGTGTCATCACGTAGACGTCACGTAGGGGTCACGTAGGTGTCACGTAGGTGTCACGTAGACGTCACGTAGGTGTCACGTAGGTGTCACGTAGACGTCACGTAGGTGTCACGTAGGTGTCACGTAGACGTCACGTAGGTGTCACGTAGGTGTCACGTAGACGTCACGTAGGTGTCACGTAGGTGTCACGTAGGTGTCACGTAGGTGTCACGTAGACGTCACGTAGGTGTCACGTAGGTGTCACGTAGACGTCACGTAGGTGTCACGTAGACGCCACGTAGACGTCACGTAGGTGTCACGTAGGTGTCACGTAGACGTCACGTAGACGTCACGTAGACGTCACGTAGGTGTCACGTAGACGTCACGTAGACGTCACGTAGGTGTCACGTAGGTGTCACGTAGGTGTCACGTAGACGTCATGTAGGTGTCACGTAGACGTCACATAGGTGTCACTTGGGTGTCACGTGGGTGTCACGTAGGTGTCACGTGGGTGTCACGTGGGTGTCACGTGGGTGTCGCACACTGTACGTGGCGGGGTAAGCGACACGCCGCATTTTGTGACTCGCCTCCCGGGTGTTTCTGAGATGTACCCATGAACACCACCCCCACCCACCCCCCCCCACGCCCCCCCTTCCCCCCCACCCCGAACCCCCCCACCCCTACCCCCCCACGTGGCAACTTAACGCAGGGAACTACTCCTGCATCGGCGCCCGCTTCCTGCTCCGCAGGGAGATGGGTTTCTACCTCATCCAGCTCTACACGCCCAGCGTGCTCATCGTCATCATCTCCTGGATGTCCTTCTGGATCGACATGTCCCTGACACCGGCGCGCGTGGGTCTGGGCATCACCACGGTGCTCACCATGACCACGCAGAGCACGGGGTCACGCTCCTCCATGCCCAAGGTGATTGATGGGGCGCGCTTCCTAAATTACAGGGGGTCTCCTCTAGCTTACGAACGGGTTACGTTACAGAAGTCTGTTCGTAAGTCGATGTTGACCGCAAGTCGAACTGTTCGTGAGTGCAGATTTACTGCTGTCGATTCCAGCCATGTTGTACGGCGTGTACATTCAACTTTGGGAATTGCTATCAAGGTTGTATAACATCCTGTAGATGTAGATGACACTGGTTCTTCATGTTCTGTAGATGTAGATGCCACTGGTTCTTCACGTTCTACAGATGTAGATGCCACTGGTTCTTCACGTTCTGTAGATGTAGATGCCACTGGTTCTTCACGTTCTACAGATGTAGATGCCACTGGTTCTTCACGTTCTGTAGAAGTAGATACCACTGGTTCTTCATGTTTTGTAGATGGAGATGCCACTGGTTCTTCATGTTCTGCAGATGTAGATGCCACTGGTTCTTCACGTTCTGCAGATGTAGATGCCACTGGTTCTTCACGTTCTGCAGATATAGATGCCACTGGTTCTTCACGTTCTGCAGATGTAGGTGCCACTGGTTCTTCACGTTTTGCAGATGTAGATGCCACTGGTTCTTCACGTTCTACAGATGTAGATGCCACTGGTTCTTCAGTTCTGCAGATGTAGATGCCACTGGTTCTTCATGTTCTGTAGATGTAGATGCCACTGGTTCTTCACGTTCTGTAGATGTAGATGCCACTGGTTCTTAATGTTCCGTAGATGTAGATGCCGCTGGTTCTTCACGTTCTGTAGATGTAGATGCCACTGGTTCTTAATGTTCTGTAGATGTAGATGCCACTAGTTCTTCATGTTCTGTAGATGTAGATGCCACTGGTTCTTCATGTTCTGTAGATGCCACTGGTTCTTCACGTTTTGTAGATGTAGATGCCACTGGTTCTTAATGTTCTGTAGATGTAGATGCCACTAGTTCTTCATGTTCTGTAGATGTAGATGCCACTGGTTCTTCATGTTCTGTAGATGCCACTGGTTCTTCACGTTTTGTAGATGTACAATGACTGATGGTGATAATGATGGTGGTGATAATGATGATGATATTATGATGCAGTGGATGGTAACGTGACTGATTATGATGGTGATGATGATGATGATGTGGTGGATAGTACCATCACTGCTGATGGTGATGATGATGATGGTGTTTATGTTATGATGCCTTAGATGGTACCATGACTGATGGTGATCATGATGGTGATGATGATGATGCTGGTGATGATGATTGTGATGATGGTTATGATGTTGGTTATGATAATGATGATGGTGGTGATGGTAATGGTGATGATGATGGTTATTATGGTAATGATGATTGTGATGATCATGGTGGTGATGATGATTGTGGTGATGATGATGGTGATGATTGTGTTGATCATGGTGATGATGGTTATGATGGTGAGAATGGTGATGGTTATGATAGTGATGGTGAGGATGATGATGGTTATGATGGTGATGGTGAGGATGATGATGGTTATGATGGAGAGGATGATGATGGTTATGATGGTGATGGTGAGGATGATGATGGTTATTATGGTAATGATGATTGTGATGATCATGGTGGTGATGATGATTGTGGTGATGATGATGGTGATGATTGTGTTGATCATGGTGATGATGGTTATGATGGTGAGAATGGTGATGGTTATGATAGTGATGGTGAGGATGATGATGGTTATGATGGTGAGGATGATGATGGTTATGATGGAGAGGATGATGATGGTTATGATGGTGATGGTGAGGATGATGATGGTTATGATGGTGATGGAGAGGATGAAGATGGTTATATTGGTGATGGTGAGGATGATGATGGTTATGATGGTGATGGTGAGGTTGATGATGGTTATGATGGTGATGGTGAGGATGAAGATGGTTATGATGGTGATGGTGTGGATGATGATGGTTATGATGGTGATGGTGAGGATGATGATGGTTATGATGGTGATGGTGAGGATGATGATGGTTATGATGGTGATGGTGAGGATGAAGATGGTTATGATGGTGATGGTGAGGATGAAGATGGTTATGATGGTGATGGTGAGGATGATGATGGTTATGATGGTGATGGTGAGGATGATGATGGTTATGATGGTGATGGAGAGGATGAAGATGGTTATGATGATGATGGTGAGGATGATGATGGTTATGATGGTGATGGTGAGGATGATGATGGTGATGGTGAGGATGATGATGGTTATGTTGGTGATGGTGAGGATGATGATGGTTATGATGGTGATGGTGAGGATGATGATGGTTATGTTGGTGATGGAGAGGATGATGATGGTGATGGTGATGATGAGGATGGTTATGATGGTGATGATGAGGATGATGATGGTTATGATGGTGATGGTGAGGATGATGATGGTTATGATGGTGAGGATGATGATGGTTATGATGGTGATGGTGAGGATGATGATGGTTATGTTGGTGATGGAGAGGATGATGGTGGTTATGATGGTGATGGTGAGGATGATGATGGTTATGATGGTGATGGAGAGGATGATGATGGTTATGATGGTGATGGAGAGGATGAGGATGATGATGGTTATGTTGGTGATGGTGAGGATGATGATGGTTATGATGGTGATGGTGAGGATGATGGTGGTTATGATGGAGAGGATGAAGATGGTTATGATGGTGATGGTGAGGATGATGATGGTTATGATGGTGATGGAGAGGATGATGATGGTTATGATGGTGATGGTGATGATGAGGATGGTTATGATGGTGAGGATGATGATGGTTATGATGGTGATGGTGAGGATGATGATGGTTATGATGGTGATGGTGAGGATGATGATGGTTATGATGGTGATGGTGAGGATGATGATGGTTATGTTGGTGATGGAGAGGATGATGATGGTTATGATGGTGATTGTGAGGATGATGATGGTTATGATGGTGATGGAGAGGATGATGATGGTTATGATGGTGATGGAGAGGATGAGGATGATGATGGTTATGATGGTGATGGTGAGGATGATGATGGTTATGATGGAGAGGATGAAGATGGTTATGCTGGTGATGGTGAGGATGATGATGGTTATGATGGAGAAGATGATGATGATGGTTATGGTGGTGATGATGAGGATGGTTATGTTGGTGATGGAGAGGATGATGATGGTTATGATGGTGATGGTGAGGATGATGATGGTTATGCTGGCGATGGTGATGTGCTCCCTGGGTGAGTGCAGCTCTCCTACATCAACGCCATGGACGTGTGGATGACCGCGTGCCTCATCTTCGTCTTCGCCGCCCTCTTCGAGTTCGTGCTGGTCATCATGACGTCAGGGACCTTCAGCATCTTCAACCAGCACGCTCCGCCCTCCTACCAGGTACACCCCCCACGTGATCAAAATCATCGTCTTCATCATCGTCGTCGTCATCGTCATTATCATCGTCATCATCATCGTCATCATCATCATCATCGTGGTTATCATCGTTGTCGTCATCGTCATTATCATCTTTGTCGTAATCGTCGTCGTCATCGTCATTATCATTATCGTCCTCATCATGGTCATCATCATCATCATTGTTATCGTCGTCATCATCGTCATCATCATTGTCATCATCGTCATGATCATCATCATCATCATCGTAGTTATCATCGTCGTCGTCATCTTCGTCATCATCATCTTCATCGTCATCATTATCATCGTCATCATCATTGTCATATTCGTCGTCGTCATCTTCATCATCATCATCGTCATCATCGTCGTCATCATCGTTGTCATCATCATCATCGTCATCATACTCATCGTCGTCGTCATCGTCATCATCATCGTAAATTATCATCATCGTCATTTTTATCATCATCATCATCACATTATCTCGCCGTCATCATCATCATCATCCAGGCGTTGGTGGCTACAACAGCACGTGGCTGCCTGCGATCGAGCGACGAGGGTTGGTGGGTCACACACAGACAGAGAAGATGCTGCTGCTGTTGTGACATCACGTGACAGGTGCCGTGATGTCATTCTCTCGATTCCTTCCGTGTCCCCCTTCTCCCACTGTGCCCAATCTCGCCTTGGATCTTTCTCCCTCCTTGAAGCCCGAAAAAATCAGCGATGCACATAGACTCAGCACTGTACCATAGACTCAACACTGTGCCATAGACTCAGCACTGTACCATAGACTCAACACTTCACCATAGACTCAGCACAGCCCATAGACTCAACACTGTACCATAGACTCAACACTTCACCATAGACTCAGCACTGCCACCCATAGACTCAACACTGCACCATAGACTCAACACTGCACCATAGACTCAACACTTCACCATAGACTCAACACCGCACCATAGACTCAACACTGCACCATAGACTCAAACACTGCACCAAAGACTCAACACTGCACCATATATTCAACACTGCACCATAGACTCAACACTGCACCATAGACTCAACACTGCACCATAGACTCAACACTTCACCATAGACTCAACACTGCACCATAGACTCAACACTGCACCATAGACTCAACACTGTACCATAGACTCAACACTGCACCATAGACTCAACACTGTACCATAGACTCAACACTGCACCATAGACTCAACACTGCACCATAGACTCAACACTGCACCATAGAATCAACACTGTACCATAGACTCAACACTGACACCCATAGACTCAACACTGCACCATAGACTCAACACTGCACCAAAGACTCAACACTGCACCATAGACTCAACACTGCACCATAGACTCAACACTTCACCATAGACTCAACACTGCACCATAGACTCAACACTGCACCATAGACTCAACACTGTACCATAGACTCAACACTGCACCATAGACTCAACACTGCACCATATATTCAACACTGCACCATAGACTCAACACTGCACCATAGACTCAACACTGCACCATAGACTCAACACTGTACCATAGACTCACCACTGCACCATTGACTCACCACTGCACCATAGACTCAACACTGTACCATAGACTCAACACTTCACCATAGACTCACCACTGCACCATAGACTCAACACTGTACCATAGACTCAACACTTCACCATAGACTCAACACTGCACCATAGACTCAACACTGCACCATAGACTCAGCACTGCACCATAGACTCAACACTGCACCATAGACTCAGCACTGCACCATAGACTCAACACTGTACCATAGACTCAACACTTCACCATAGACTCAACACTGCACCATTGACTTACCACTGCACCATAGACTCAACACTGCACCATAGACTCAACACTGCACCATAGACTCAACACTGCACCATAGACTCAACACTGCACCGTAGACTCAACACTGCACCATAGACTCAACAATGCACCATAGACTCAACACTGCCCATAGACTCAACACTGCACCATAGACTCAACACTGTACCATAGACTCAACTCTGCACCATAGACTCAATGCTGCCCATAGACTCAACACTGTACCATAGACTCAACACTGCCACCCATAGACTCAACACTGCCCATAGACTCAACACTGCCCATAGACTAAATTCTGCCCATAGACTCACAATGCCCATTGGCTCAACACTGCCCATAGACTCAACACTGCACCATAGACTCAACACTTTACCATAGACTCAACACTGCACCATAGACTCAACACTGTACCATAGACTCAACACTGCCACCCATAGACTCAACACTGCCCATAGACTCAACACTGCACCATAGACTCAACATTGCACCATAGAATGAACACGGGCGTAGACTCAACACTGCCCATAGTCCTAACACCGCACCATCGACTCACCACTACACCATAGAATTAACACTGCACCATAGATTAAACACTTCCAATAGACTCAACATTGCGCCATAGACTCAACACTACCCATAGACTCAACACTTCCCTTAGACTCAACACTACACCATAGACTCAACACTGCACCATAGACTCAACACTTCCCTTAGACTCAACACTACACCATAGACTCAACACTGCACCATAGACCCAACACTGCACCATAGACTCAACACTGCCCATAGACACAACACTGCACCATAGACTCAACACTACACCATAGACCCAACACTGCACCATAGACTCAACACTGCCCATAAACTCAACACTACACCATAGACTCAACACTGCACCATAGACTCAACACTGCACCGTAGACCCAACACTGCACCATAAACTCAACACTGCACCATAGACTCAACACTGCACCATAGACCCAGCACTGCACCATAGACTCAACACTGCCCTTATACTCAACACTGCACCATAGACTCAACACTGCCCATGGACTCAACACTGCGCCATAGACTCAACACTGCTCATAGACTCAACACTACACCATAGACTCAACACTGCCCATAGACTCAACACTGCACCATTGACTCAACACTGCTCATAGACTCAACACTACACCATCGACTCAACACTACACCATAGACTCAATGCTGCACATAGACTCAACACCACACGATAGACTCAACACTGCACCATAGGTTTTGATTTAAAGCTTTGGTGACTGCAGGAATTCATATTGTTGGTTCTTTCGGTAAAGTCACCACGTAGAAGGGAAACAATAAAATAATAAAAATATAAAACAACAAAATTCGCACGACGTTTCGACTGCAACACAAGCAATCATCATCAGGTGTGAAAACCTCCTCCTCCTCCTCTTTTCAGCCAATTAATGATGAGCGTGCTTCTTGTTACAATGATTATTACTATTATTGCTGTACACGTGGGATAACACCAGGGTTTTCCTGAGATCACTCTCGCCGTGCATGCGCGGGCAACACTCTCTCACCACCTAGATGGAACAGATGGAGATTAGTCCACGCACTCTGTCGTACCGACTTCGAGCTGGCAGAGCCAGGGGGTACAACTCCTCGTCGACACTCACCCACGGGTAGAAGGGAGTTTCACAACCTCATCCGTGTGTGATCCACCATCCCTCACCGCCGACGATGATGATGATGATGATGGTGATTGTAATGATTGCTTTGTCCGCTTCCCTACCGTTGTCTGTCAAAGGCCGACGTCCCAGGGATGAAGAGTGGAGTTTCTGACACGGTACAGTGCAACACTAACACAAAGTTCCCCCGTATAGTCCACAACAGGCTGTCGGGCCAAGTGCTGTGAGTGAGTAGCGAGTAGCGGCCCCTATGACGGCCGGGATGGCACACGAGGCGGTGGGTGGCCAGCAACACGTCCACCCGGCCGCTTTTGTCATCCCTAGTGCCGATGATTTCGACACACGGCACCGTGTAGCCATTTGAGGCTGAGTCGACCTAGGGGGAGGGAGGCCCAGGACAGGTTCAGATAATCGTCACCGACGGTGTTGGTGGGCTGGAATCGGGAATTGAACTCGGCTCTCTGTCGAGTTTCGTAGGGCAGTGCTAACCGCAGCGCCACCACTCAACCCCCCTCCACCCAGTTCTCTCTCCGTGCGCGCTGCAGTGTAAATGGGTTCACCACAGTACGTTGATCGGTAGGTCACGTGTGGTGGTGGTGGTGGTGATGGTGGTGGTGGAGGAGGAGGAGTGAGTAGTAAATTGCGGTCAACTGATCTAAAATGAATACGGGTGCTTTATCCAATGTCACAGGAGGTGGGTTCAGATGTCCATATGCCAAATAGACGACACGCAGCTGCGATCACCAGAAGGGATCGTCAAGTCTGCATTAACCACACGTGCATCTCCGGTCTGACATTGGAGGCCATAGGGGAGGCCTGTAACTCTGGTGTAGGCCAGTCGGTTCCAAGGACAATGCGTAACAAGGCGTGTTCGTCAGGCATTGTCCTTGTACTGGTCGCCTGTTGGCGTTGTTCTCCGGTCTAACGCCGGTGGTGGCACAAGGCCATGGAGCAGCAGGCTATAGGCTCTGGTGTAGGCCGATACGTTCCGAGGACAATGCGTAACACAAATATTAAATCAGTGTCTGTTTTGTACATTTCACTAAAAGCACGATGTGTGGTTAATGCTGACTGATGCCTTGTAGTGAAACTATCTGTGTGGGGAGCGGTAGTGTAGTAGCAGCTTCGAGACCTGAATTCAATTCCCGCTCACAGCCACCAACGCCAGTGACGATTATCTGAACCGGTCCTGCAGGGCCTCTTCCCCAAGGTCGACTCAGCCTCAAACGAGCACCTGGTGCGGTGGTGTGTAGTAAACATCGCCACTGGGGAGATGAAGGCGGCCGGGCATGCCACAGTGCCGGCCTTCATAGGTTGTATTCGTTGACAGCACTTGCCCCCAACATCCTGTTAAGGCTATATGGGGGATCTTTGTCTATTTGGTGTTTGTTGGGCGTCTGCTGAGTCGACCTTGAAAAAAAAATTCTTAGCTCGATAGGCGTCACTCGGGAAATCGACTCCCGAGTCTTCTGATTCTGAACATTTTAACACACCTCCTGTATTCTTGCCGGAATAAGATGGGTAAATCCATAACAGAGGTTTTTTTGGTTAAATATACAACGTGTTTTGATTTAAAGCTTTCGTGACTGCAGTAATTCACATTCTTAGTTCTTTTGGTAAAGTCACGTTGAAGGGAAACAACTAAATAATTGTTTTATATATATTTTATTATTTTGTTGTTTCCCTTCAACGTGACTTTACCGAAAGAACTAAGAATATACAATGTGTTGTTAAACCCACCACCGCCCCGACATGGCCAATTATCAAAGTGTGTTAATTCGTTACTCGTTCAGCACTAACCGGTGTGTGTGTGTGTGTATTGGGGAGTAAACCCGCTACAGCATTTACACAATTCGAGAAACAGTGACGTTTCGCCGGTGATTACAACAACAACAACAACCAGCATCATCAGGCAACAGCCAACTCTGGCTGTCGCGATCTAACTCAAAAAAAGCCTCATCGATAATATTGGCTGTGAAAACAGTTTCTTCCCATCTGCTGCTGGCCTGTTAAACAAGGCCAAGGGCTAACACTGTTTTTTAACATTTGATCTACATAACGACACCTTGCCGATATTAACTATGTTACCCTATTTGTATTTTTTATTTTTAAATTATATCTTAAAGCTATTTTATATTCGATATTTATTTAATTTTATATACTTCAGCCCCTTGGTGTTAGACTTTTAACCCTTATTATAGTAAGACTTGTTTAAAACTTATTTAAGATTTTAGATTCCTATATGTTGAATGTATGCACCATCCTGCCAAAGTAAATTCCGTGTCGGTGTGAACTTACATGGCGAATAAAACCCTTTCTGATTCTGATTCTGAAAGCCTCCTATGGCTACGGGTTGAGATGGGTAAAGCCTACTCCTCTTGTCACCACGTCGCTAAGTCGTACCGGCATAATAGGTCCTAAACATGTTTGGGTTTAGTAATAGGTTTTACCCTTTAAACTGGCACAAAAACTGACACCTTTATTCAAGGCATCATGTTTGCAATAACCACAACACAAGCAGTCAAAAACCTATTACTATATCTTGTTACTGGCAAAGGAGGTCTCATAATGTAAATGCTCACCCCGAGCCCTCAATACTCTGATAGTGCGCTGTTTTTGAGTTGTACGCCTTTTGGCGTCTTCTGGTCCAACACCAATGTGTGAGACTAGGCTCTAAGAAAAGCCGTCTCTGGTGTGGACCAATCAAATTCAAGGACAGTGCCAATATTATTATCAGAGTTGTCTCTTTTGTTTGCATTTTGACTGCTTGTGTTGTGGTCATTGCAAACATGATGCCTTGAATAAAGGTGTCAGTTTTTGTGCCAGTTAAAAGGGTAAAACCTATTACTATATCTTGTTACTGGCAAAGGAGGTCTCATAATGTTTGTGTTTGTTGGGGGTAACTGCCATATCTTTCCAATGTGGACCGGCCAACGTGGAAGAAGAGACCAACACTAAAAAATACCCACTTCATTCGAGGGGGGGGAGGAGGAGGAAGGGGGGAGAGGGGGTAAGAGAGTGGTGTGTTCCTCTTTCGAGAGGGCTCCTTCCTCCGGCTTGGAGGATGCACTTTGATGGCTAGGCCTCGCCTGGTATGCAGAAGGTTGTAAATTTGATCCTGACCCTGATGACGCCTGCTGCTGTATATTTGGAGCTTTCATGTTATCTCCCTCACCTGGTACGCAGGAGGTCGCTGGTTCGATCCTGACCCTTATGCGTTTACATTTGGGGTTTGCACGTCCTTCTCTCTCTCTCTCTCTCCGTGGTTCGCGTGGATTTGTCTCCGGGTCCTCCGTTTTTTTTGTGTTCCCACCTCCACATTTATGATCAACGGGTCATGCGTTCAGAGCATTTGGCTGCCGTTGTAGAATTCCCATGTGACGATGATGACAAGCCACCACTTCGTCGTTGAGCGACCTGTAATTTGTGGTAAGTTAATACCTCAGTGGGCTTTGCCTGGTAGGATGCTAGTTGCGAGCTTGCACAGATTTACATTGTATGCCAATTCCTTTGTCAAGGCGTCTTTTCTGTTCGCCCACTCACGGCTTAAAGGAGGCGACCTGCGCTTGACTTTTTTCACTCCAACGCTGTCCTCTGGACAGGTTGGTTCCTTCACCTGATGAAGGCCACTTGTGTTGTGGCCGAAACGTCGTGATTTTTGTTGTTTTATTTTTTACCTACGTGACTTTACCGAATAGAACCAAAGAGTATGGATCCTTGCAGTCACGAAAGCTTCAAATCTAGAAAGGTTGGGGATTGTTTGGTTGTATTTGTAACGTGTTTGGGTGATTTCTTTACTTTTCATGCACCTTGCACTCCTATTGTGTTTTTGTATTTGTTGCTGTAACGTTCTTACCCCATGCCCCTTCTGGACATCTGTGATGAAAGACCTTGATAGCTCATCAGATTCTGCCAATATACATAATGAATAACACGTAGGATTTTTTTATCGACCAATATCATCCATAATAGAGGTTTTTTTTTGGGTTAGATCCCGTAAATATATACATTTGTCGTTAAAACCCGCCACCACCCGACACAGCCAACTAGCCACACATCTGGCTGTCGCCTGATGAAGCTAGTTGTAATTACTGGTGAAACGTCGTACTCAGATTGTAAATGTTGTGGCTTGGCTCTCCAAATCACCGACGTGCTGTACTAGTGACGAATTGGCACGTTCTGTTTACGTGACAACCCTTACTAGTTGGCTGTGTCCGGTAGTGGCGTGTTTTAGACGACACATTTATATATTTACACGACCTAACCCAAAAGAAAACCCTCTATTGTACATAATGATTCTGATTCTGCTGATTCTGCTTCACCTGGCAAAAATAAACAATAGTTTTAGTTGAGGGATGGTTCTCCTTCCGCTGCCAGTGACGGGAGCGAGGGAGCCATTGCAGGAGCGGCGCCATTTTGTTCTAGCTGCACGTGGCGTGGGCGCCGCCATTTTGTTTTGTTGCACGTGCCAGGGGTGCCGCCATTTTGTTTTATGTTGCACGTGGCAGGGGCGTGCTGGCGAGGAGCCGTCCTGCGAGGAGGCGATGCGGCGTGCCCGCGCCATTGACAAGGGCTCCCGCCTCCTCTTCCCCATCGCCTTCATGCTCTTCAATACCATCTACTGGGTTGTCTACCTCGCCGTCATTAGCCCATAGTTGTTGTCGTCATGGTGTGGGTGTGGGATTGTTGTTGTGGTTGTTGTTGTCTTGGTGTGGTCTGGGACTGTTGTTGTTGTTGTTGTCATGGTGTGGTGGTGGGACTGTTGTCGTGGTTTGTGGTCTGGGGACTGTTGTTGTTGTCTTAGAGTGGGTCTACTGGGTTGTCGACCTGGCCGTGAGGAGCCCCAAGTTGTTGTTGTCATAGTGTGGGTGTGTTGGTTTGGGACTGTTGTTGTTGTTGTTGTCTTGGTGTGGGGTCTGGGACTGTTGTTGTCGTCTTGGTGTGGTCTGGGACTGTTGTTGTTGTCTTGGTATAGTCTGGGATTCTTGTTGTTGTTGTTGTTGTTGTCTTGGTGTGGTCTGGGACTGTTGTTGTTGTTGTCTTGGTGTGGTCTGTGATTGTTGTTGTTGTTGTGGTCTGGGACTGTTGTTGTTGTCTTGGTGTGGTCTGGGACTGTTGTTGTTGTTGTCTTGGTGTGGTCTGGGACTGTTGTTGTTGTTGTCTTGGTGTGGTCTGTGATTGTTGTTGTTGTCTTCATGTGGTCTGTGATTGTTGTTGTTGCATTGCTGCATTTCTCTAAGAGTGAATTTGTCGGGAATTGATGTACATGCTTTATATACTTATTTAGTTTAGTGACAGGCTTACTTTTTCTGCGCTGTAACAGTGCTCGCGTTCCGTGTTATAATAACGGTGCTTGTTACGTGTTATAACAGTGTGTACGCATTCTATGTTATAACGGTGTGCTTGTTACGTGTTATAACAATGTGTGCTTTCCATGTACTAAGTGCGTGTGCGTTCCGCGTCATTACGGTGTGTGTGTGTGTTCCACGTTATAATAACGGTGTGTGTGTGTTCCACGCTATAATAACGGTGTGTGTGTGTTCCACGTTATAATAACGGTGTGTGTGTGTTCCACGTTATAATAACGGTGTGTGTGTGTTCCACGCTATAATAACGGTGTGTGTGTGTTCCACTCTATAATAACGATGTGTGTGTTCCACGTTATAATAACGGTGAGTGTGTGTTCCACGTTATAATAACGGTGTGTTTGTGTTCCACGCTATAATAATGGTGTGTGTGTTCCACGTTATAATAACGGTGTGTGTGTGTTCCACGTTATAATAACGGTGTGTGTGTGTTCCACGCTATAATAACGGTGTGTGTGTGTTCCACGTTATAATAACGGTGTGTGTGTGTTCCACGCTATAATAACGGTGTGTGTGTGTTCCACGCTATAATAACGGTGTGTGTGTGTTCCACGCTATAATAACGGTGTGTGTGTGTTCCACGTTATAATAACGGTGTGTGTGTGTTCCACGCTATAATAACGGTGTGTGTGTGTTCCACGCTATAATAACGGTGTGTGTGTGTTCCACGTTATAATAACGGTGTGTGTGTGTTCCACGCTATAATAACGGTGTGTGTGTGTTCCACGCTATAATAACGGTGTGTGTGTGTTCCACGCTATAATAACGGTGTGTGTGTGTTCCACGCTATAATAACGGTGTGTGTGTGTTCCACGTTATAATAATGGTGTGTGTGTGTTCCACGCTATAATAACGGTGTGTGTGTGTTCCACGTTATAATAACGGTGTGTGTGTGTGTTCCACGTTATAATAACGGTGTGTGTGTGTTCCACGTTATAATAACGGTGTGTGTGTGTTCCACTCTATAATAACGGTGTGTGTGTGTTCCACTCTATAATAACGGTGTGTGTGTGTTCCACGTTATAATAACGGTGTGTGTGTGTGTTCCACGTTATAATAACGGTGTGTGTGTGTTCCACTCTATAATAACGGTGTGTGTGTGTTCCACTCTATAATAACGGTGTGTGTGTGTTCCACGTTATAATAACGGTGTGTGTGTGTTCCACGTTATAATAACGGTGTGTGTGTTCCACGCTACAATAACGGTGTGTGTGTGTGTTCCACGTTATAATAACGGTGTGTGTGTGTTCCACGTTATAATAACGGTGTGTGTGTGTGTTCCACGTTATAATAACAGTGTGTGTGTGTTCCACGCTATAATAACGGTGTGTGTGTGTTCCACGCTATAATAACGGTGTGTGTGTGTTCCACGTTATAATAACGGTGTGTGTGTGTTCCACGCTACAATAACGGTGTGTGTGTGTTCCACGTAATAATAACGGTGTGTGTGTGTTCCACGTTATAATAACGGTGTGTGTGTGTTCCACATTATAATAACGGTGTGTGTGTGTTCCACGTTATAATAACGGTGTGTGTGTGTTCCACGCTATAATAATGGTTTGTGTGTTCCACGCTACAATAACGGTGTGTGTGTGTTCCACGCTATAATAATGGTTTGTGTGTTCCACGCTACAATAACGGTGTGTGTGTGTTCCACACTATAATCACGTTGTGTGTGTTCCACGCTTTAATAACGGTGTGTGTGTGTTCCACGTTATAATAACGGTGTGTGTGTGTTCCACGCTACAATAACGGTGTGTGTGTTCCACGCTATAATAACGGTGTGTGTGTGTTCCACGCTATAATAATGGTGTGTGTGTGTGTTCCACGCTATAATAACTGTGTGTGTGTGTTCCACTCTATAATAACGGTGTGTGTGTGTTCCACGTTATAATAACGGTGTGTGTGTGTTCCACGCTATAATAACGGTGTGTGTGTGTTCCACGCTATAATAACGGTGTGTGTGTGTTCCACGTTATAATAACGGTGTGTGTGTGTTCCACGTTATAATAACGGTGTGTGTGTGTTCCACGTTATAATAACGGTGTGTGTGTGTTCCACGCTATAATAACGGTGTGTGTGTGTTCCACGCTATAATAACGATGTGTGTGTGTTCCACGTTATAATAACGGTGTGTGTGTGTGTTCCACGTTATAATAACGGTGTGTGTGTGTTCCACTCTATTATACCGGTGTGTGTGTGTTCCACATTATAATAACGGTGTGTGTGTTCCACGCTATAATAATGGTGTGTGTGTGTTCCACGCTATAATAACGGTGTGTGTGTGTTCCACGTTATAATAACGGTGTGTGTGTGTTCCACGCTATAATAACGGTGTGTGTGTGTTCCACGCTATAATAACGGTGTGTGTGTGTTCCACGTTATAATAACGGTGTGTGTGTGTTCCACATTATAATAACGGTGTGTGTGTGTTCCACGTTATAATAACGGTGTGTGTGTGTTCCACGCTATAATAACGGTGTGTGTGTGTTCCACGTTATAATAACGGTGTGTGTGTGTTCCACGCTATAATAACGGTGTGTGTGTGTTCCACGTTATAATAACGGTGTGTGTGTGTTCCACGTTATAATAACGGTGTGTGTGTGTTCCACGCTATAATAACGGTGTGTGTGTGTTCCACGTTATAATAACGGTGTGTGTGTGTTCCACGCTATAATAACGGTGTGTGTGTGTTCCACGTTATAATAACGGTGTGTGTGTGTTCCACGCTATAATAACGGTGTGTGTGTGTTCCACGTTATAATAACGGTGTGTGTGTGTTCCACGCTATAATAATGGTTTGTGTGTTCCACGTTATAATAACGGTGTGTGTGTGTTCCACGTACAATCGTAGAGCTGTGGTTGCCACCGCAGCCGAGCAGCTCGGCCAGCGCTACCCTCCCCTCGCACCCCCCCCCCCCCACGAACGCCCCACTAAACACTCAACATGAACCCCCGTAGGGTCTCGAGGAGGGGTCACCTGGTGCGATGGGTTTTCACCCGAGGACCCCCACTAGCAGGGACGTTCCACGGTTTCCCCGGACCAGGAAATTGGCCGAGCCCCCCCAGACCGGATTACACGGCGCCCCCCCCCCCCCCCAAAAAAAGGGGGGCGGAGAGCTTTACAGGCCGGCCGCGATGAAGCTTACACAGCACGGAGGGGATGGGAACTTCAGCCAGCACCCAGCGGCAGGGCAAACAGTGGGAGTGGGAGGGAGGGAAAAGCCTCCAGGCAGATAAGAAGTTGACTTCAGTGGGTGGGAGCGAGAGGATTATCGATGAGTCAATGGTGAGGAACGCAGGCACAGAGGCAATGGGACGGGGGGGGGGGGATGACGCGACCCCCACCTCCCCCCCTCCCTCCCCCAACGGCCAGAGCGCTCAAAACGGCCGGAAAAGACGATCCGATTGGATGCTCAGGATGACGTCATATGGATTGAATCAGAGTCCTTCCGGAGCGGCGGAGGAGACCGGCCGCCCTCAGCGTCCGTTTCGACGCATGCAGGGTGGAGCCGGAAACGATCGGCCAGGCGAAGTCCCCCCAAGGTCGAGCATCTTCCCCAGCCCTCATCGGGGGCAGCTGAAGAGGTGAGTGGCGCACGCGAAGAGGGGGCCAACTCAGCCCAGCTCGCAGCCAGCTCGAGCTTGGGGGGATGGCCGCACTCCGCGACAGCTTTGGTGACAGGAGGTTAGGCGCTGTCCGAAGGCTGCTGGCTGAAGGGGGCCGTAAACGGGGGTTCAACTTTCGATTTAGAGCTTTCGTGACTGCAATGATTCATCTTCTTTGGTTCTTTCGGTAAAGTCACGTAGAATGAGAATAAAATAATAAATTGATAAAATAAAATAACACAATAATATTCTCACGACGTTTCGGCCACAACACAAGTGGCCTTCATCAGGTGAAGGGAGCGAGACTGTCTGGTAGGACAGCGCTGGAGTGAGAGAGCCACGTTCAGATCACGGCTTTTAAGCTGTGTGAGAGGAACAAAGAGCCTTAGAGTCGCGGCATCTCTTCAGAAAGGTGAGAGACTAGATTAGTTGAGCCTTCTTATCCCGAAGTCTGTTGAATGATCTTAAGGATGTGTGGAATCCCTCCCCGTAGAGGCGGTTAAATTTCGATTTAAAGCTTTCGTGACTGCAATGATTCATCTTCTTTGGTTCTTTCGGTAAAGTCACCACCACCACGTAGAATGAGATGAAGGCCGCTTGTGTTGTGGCCGAAACGTCGTGAGAATATTATTGTGTTATTTTATTTTATCAATTCATTATTTTAATTCTCATTCTACGTG